CTTTCAGTAATGGAAATGTTGTTTACACTAGTTTCACTCTTGATTTCCGGATGTATGTTACATCGTTTTTCAAATAGCCTGAAGCTATGTAATATTTAATTCATTTTTTCATATAGTTCTTGCAAGTTCATCTTTTTTATGAACAGTTTTTATAAAACACTTTCTCAACATATATTTTAACACTTGTCTTTAAAAAAACCGTCTTTTTTTTAAGTATGCAAGTATTTATTATATTATTAGTAAAATTTTCACAGTTGATATATAGAAACAAAATTGAGCAGTTTTATATCGTCTTTCCGTGTTGCTTTCCAGAGCGCATATTCCTTTCTTAAGTACCAATAGTTTTCAATTGTATTAAAGTTACCTGATGTGAAATATATAATGATTAGCAATTTTAACAGGTATACAAAAGGTCAAAGAACAGCATTAATATGATTTGGTGGCATTCGTTCACATGTATCCACATAAATCAGTTAAAAAGTACAATCAGTATTTAAAGTCATATTTAATTGATGAACAATTTCTCATCGACTGTTTGTCTAACATCATTTGTACTGTGGTGAATTTGAATTAATGATCTAAAGAAATTGACCACAAAGAATGCATACAAAGGAGCAAATATTACTGAAGGCTATAAGGCATGCATTGAAGCATTCTGTAGCTGCAAGAACTCAAGGTGAACGTGTTTGTTTTCAAATCCCAACCTTCTAGCTGCAGATCCGTACAGCTGCTGTAGCTCACTGGTGTAAGAAAAATGTGATGGTCGACCAGAGATGTACGTAAAGTGTCACTCTTTGAAAAAAGTATATAACTAGTGCGCACAAAAAAGAGCAGCTATGTTTTCTCGTGTTTTTTATCCGTTTATTTTCGCTGCCATATCAGAACTTTACCAACTATGTTTTTATCATATTCTTTTACTATACTTCTACAACAAAAACATTTCAACAACTGTTGTTTATAGCCCTCCTAGGTCTAAAATTCGATAATTTTGCCTATTTATGCTGCCATATTAGGTGGCAAGATAATTCGGTATTGTGAGCTCCGTGCATTCCTTGAACATGCAAATTTGTTGTGGAAGAAATAAAAGAATATGTTAGAAGCACATGTCTGGAAATATTTTGAAAATGTGTTTTAAAAATCGAGAATGAGCAATCTTTTTGTGCGAAATAAGAAATAAACTTTTTTTTTTTCAATGGGTGGCACTGTACTTTTCTGTTCGCCTAACCTTTTTTTCAGACCAGCGATCTCATACCTGCATCTTTCAACCGTTCTGATTACAGAATTACTAAATAAATGATATTGAAGTGTGGGTTTTTTTTGTTTTGCTATCTTTTTTGTATGCCTTCGTGGGCATTCATTCCTAAAAAAAAAAATTACAATTAGATTTTTTTTCTTACATAAAACATTTTTGATAAAATAAATTACGGAACAATGTACACACATAAGGATTTATTCGAGTAAAATATTAACGTCAGTTGAAATATTTACAAATCGTAGGGTTTAAATGCACACTTTGTTCAATTTCTATCCTCATCTTTTGTTTGATGATTGTTGAAGTAAAAAAAAATAAGTTAATACTTCATAGTTTGCATTTTCAAAACCTTTAGATGAATTGCCTTTAATATCAGTGGTCAAAGCCATAAACTATGTGTAAACCATTTCCTCCTTTCGATGAATCACGATGCATGTGCACAAATGCTTTAAAATTCATAACAGATCATTCTTTTTCTTCTTATGTATATATATATATATATATATATATATATATATATATATATATATATATATATATATATATATATATATATATATATGTTATTTGAACTAATCAACATAAAAAAAATTCCAATAAACTTAATGCATTAATATGACTTAGTAGTTATGTTTCAATTCAAATGGAGGTGAAAAGGACGATGAATAGTTGTTGCTTCTATTTTACCCAAAGAATTTTGAAAATCTGATTTATACGTGTACTGAATTTTTTAACAAAGAAAGGAAAACGTCGGAGGTTCCCCTTCCTTTATGTATATTACATGTACAAGAATGATAATTTTCCTGTTAAAAAAATAAAAACATCGTTAGATGTTCCTCATAGTTTAGATAGCATTATAGGAATAAAAAGGTGAATACAACGAAATGTGTTATTCTCATAAATTCTGTCGTCTATACAAGGTGTGATCATGGAAAAACAACAACTCCCTAAAACACCTGTGATGAGATGCCTGGGTGAAGAAAACACAAAAAATGGCAGTCAAATGAATTATCATTTTCTTTCGAGGAGAAATAAATAACTTGGTATCTTTTATTGAGAGACATATATTTTCAAGTTTAGTGTTTGCCTCTAATTTGACTTTTCTGAGAATAACGTAATATGGATATCTTTTTAATTGCCATCTGCAGACATGCAGATGTTTGTCTATCACAAATGAACAAATCAATTGATAAAATTATTTGCATTTGTTATTTCCATAACAGATGTAGTTTTATAGGTTGGGTTCTGTCGAACAGTGCGTGCAGAAATTAATAGTTACAATTGCACAATTAAATGGTAGAACGTTTCAGATTATGTATAAATATGAAAAAATAACAATAATGTATTTTATTATGATGATGAAATTTTGTGTTATTTAACTATTATAACTATTATTTTGATGAATCTTATTTCAGGAGAAATACAAAAAAATATAATGTGAAATACAGTAAAATTTAGAACAGCTAGGTTGGTGAGAGAATGAAATGGCTGTGTGAATTCTAAATTAACCATGTATACTGCATTAATAACCTCTTATTTAAAACAATGACATATTAGCCTGTTTTGTCGCTTATTATTATGCACTATTTATTCTGTTTAAGAGAACATACACATATTTTTTATACAGAATCGACTAAGGTCTATTTAGAGTCATTTTAACCTTAAAAAAAAAACGTAACCAAACTGTTTTCAGTTTTATTGCTTTTGTCGTTAAATATATTTTATCAAGTTTGTATTTTAACTTTTTTTTTACTTTGGAAAATAAATCTTTCAGCGATATAATTTGACAAACTATCATTACATGTGATCGTGCAAGTGACACTATTCATTTCTGCACAAACTATTCAACAGAATCCAAAATAGTGTGTTGCTTATGAAAAGACATCTTTTATGGATATGAATAGAAACTGCAGATGAATGAATAAACCATTCTATAATTTAAAACATAAACTAGTTAAGCTGCAGTCATTCTCTATTACAGAAGTTTGTTTTTCTTTTCATTTCCACAAAATATCATTCTATTACTAACATATCAATCTAGCTGTTCTAAAAATTTATTGTATTTTATTTTATACTTTCTATGTATCCTAAAATAAGATTCATACAAAATAGTAATAGTAGTTAAATAATAATAACAAAGTCCCTACAATGAACATAATAGAATATATCGATGTTTTTCTTCATATTTTTGTATATTCTGAAACGTTTTATTATTTCTAAATAATGTTGGGATCTTTCAACTGTGTCATTGCAGCTTTTCGAAACTGTCACGGAAGTTACGTTGTTAAGTTGTTGGAGCGCTTGCTCTGTGATCGAAAGATTTTGCATTGAAAACCTGGCAACAACTGACCTGAATCGATAACTATTCCTTTGCCAAGAGCTGGGGAGTTTAGAGTGAAAGCTGACGTCTTGCTAATGAGAGTTGAAAACCGGGGTCGCGCATATTATGTTATTGCAAGCGTTGGCAAATTCCCTCACTGCTTAATGCCACTGGGTGCAAAGTTAATGTCTAAAATCTCTATGGGTAAAGAATTTTTCGAATCAGACGTTTAACATCACAGGATCGATCAAACAATAAATATAAAATCAGTCATAAAATAAATTTTACAATATTAATCCTTGTAGAATTATTTCTAATATTTGAAAAAAAAAACACTGTATACTTTATTTAAAAAAAAAATTATAATTCATGCAGTTATCACTATTTGTTTTTTACTCTTTCAAAAAGGTTTTTCTAAAATGGAAACATTTAGATATTAAGCTTTTTTAAAGTATTTAATATAGCTATCTTAAATTTTATAACTCTGCAAATTTGCTATTTCGAGTTATTATGTATCATTATTAAATGTCAAAAGAGCTGCAACAATAATGCAGCAAAGATAATATATCTGTCAAAGACCGCATTATACTGAAGAAATTTTTCATTACATATGTATATAAAATTATTTTTGAACCAAATAAAATGTTAGACAATCTCTCACTTGATTCTTTACCATTAGGTCTAATATGATAACAGAAATAGCTAGAATCTTAAATAAAAAAATGAACCAAGATTCTTAGTCATCGTTGATAATAAAATTGATAAAAGAATTAAAAACCAACGAATTCAAGTGGTCTTAGTTTTGTGAATAGGTGATACGGACATCCAAAGAATAAAAAAAAACATTGTGAATTGATATTCAAATAAGAATTGCAAATTTAAAAATCTTTTCGTAAACTTGTCCATTTTCGTTGTCGATATATTCACTGATAAAAGAAACTTGCAAAAATCATAAAATGCCCAATAGTTTTTTTTAGTGTTTAATAATGGACCATTAAGATCAGTTCAAGCAAACCCGATTTACTTCTACTTCTATCTTTCTTTAGAATTAGAAATCAACGAATTCAAGTGGTTTAAGTTTTGTGAATAGGTGATAAGGAGATCAAAATGAAGCGTTGTCAAATTAGTATAAAAACAAAGATCTTACAGCCAATTTCAAACTTGTCAGCAAAATAAGTTCCAAAGATAGATTGTATTTGCTAAAATGGTCACAATTACGACCATAGATAATACGAAATGCCGACTTAATGAAACATGTGAAGATAATGAACAGTGTTCGAGATCAAAAGTCTACAAAACAATACAAAATAGGAGCAGATCAGCAAACACGATCCTCCAACATATCATCTAACTAAAGTTAAGTAGGTACAAAAGGAATATCACTGCACAACAAAAAGTGTTAAAAAAACAAATGACAAACAATAGGGCCAAAATATTTGCAAATAAAATAATTTATTTCATGATACCCAATTCTTTGAAAGTAATTTTCAGTTGGTAATTCATTACGACAATTTGAAACCAGAGAAAGTATTCCCGGCATATCTGAATCTAATTGCCGAGTTTAATTTCCATTTCTTGGAGGCGCGGATCCACACCCTGTCTCCTTTCTTCAGACGTAGGATAACCATGTTACTTCCCATGTTGTAACCTTTCTCAACTTTTCCTGAAACAGCCTCTGCGATGAATTTTCCATTGAGAGTCAACCAAATTGAATGACTCATTCCTCGTTCTGGCATGGAGGTGAAGAAGAAGACGTACGTTCCGGACGATGGACAACGGAAGCTACCCCTTCGTTTGTCGTACCCATTTCCTATGTTATTGAGAACATGTGTATATCTTAAGATCTGCCCTTTGTAGTAGATGGTTCGGCCAGTTCCTGACATGTATGCTGTGAAAGCAACGGTCCCGCTTCCTAGAGATAAATGACAAGATGTTTCTAAAATGACGTTTGAAAGAGTAACGTTCATAATTAAACACACAGCTATATTATCAAATAGACTTTGGCAAAATGAATTATTAAAATAACTACTGTAAACCAATTATTATTTGCGACATCTTTTATTCGTGATTCCTCTGTTTTCAATCAGTGCGCAAGTGAGGAAACGTTCTCTACCTATTCGCAAGAAAAAGTAGATAGCGAAACTCGCATAGATTTCTCGCACGCAAATAATAGTTGGTTTACCGTATTAGTAAAAGGTCTTTAGAAAACAGGAACCTACCGGTACCCTTGTACAATCGTCTGTATACTCGGGTTTTCAGTTGATGCAATTCACTTCTAAGTTCTGCTATTTGACTGTTTAATCCGTAAACAGAAAGACGCTGACAAAATGAAAAGTACATTTTATTTTATTTGTCTTTCCTTTTGTTTGCGAGAATATAAATTGTTAAATCAACATTTGTAGAAATTCTAACTTTGTCTCATGGAAAAAAAAAATCAATAAATCTTTAAAAATGTGTACATATCTCAGTTCTTATATAAAATTGGTTGGAGATTTCGAAACGTAATAATCAATCTAAAAAATTAACAAATAATTCTTGTTCATATTATAGAATGCGTAACACTAAATACAAAAAATTCTGTTAGAAAACATTAACATTTTGTAAGAAATTCACCTTTTCCAGACCGAGAACAGCATCAATTTCAAACAAGGCAAGAGCCGTCAAAATAATGGTCAGTGACATCATATCTCTACCTTCTAAAACAGTAAAGTATATTTATTTATATTTTTTCAATTGTATGAATATTTTTGATTTTGTTTCGTACTTATATATGTAGAATCTAAAAATGCATAATTTACACAATGAACAGACGTTTAGATTATTGATATTTATGATACTGAAAGGATCAAAAGACAAGATCCGGCAAGTTAAATCATATGGTAGTCAGGGTGCTTACAACTGATATCTGGGGCAAACATGTAGCTCTTGCATATCTTGCATGTGTTCTCTTGCGATCTTAATATAACTATAAATCACCATATTTTCCCAATTTTGAATTTTGGCATTTATTAGCATTTATAAGACAAAAAAAAATCACTAATGTTGGTTTTTGCTGTAAATTTTCTTACTGATAAAATATAATATTTTTCCGAAACCAGACGATCTCAAGTAATTATGCAAAAATAAAGTTCTCGCTAATAAATAGTCTTGTACAGTATTCAACTTAGGACGGTGCCTGTTTACGAGTGACCGATGATACCAAATTTTTTTTTCTCTTGAACTACACGAAGAAAATTAAATTTAATGGCCACAATTGTTATATTTTTTTTTCCAATTGCAATGTAATCAAAGTATTTTATGAGCAAAGGAATTCTGGATAAATAGTTTTATTTAAAAAAAAAATGATGAAATTCTAAAAGTTCACTTAAAATATAGTTTCTATTAATTTACACATTTGAAAAAATATTCGACTACTTTTGTCTTCCCTGAACTATTCATTATAGAATAGAAATCGGATACCATTTTAATTATGCAAACACTAGTATGTATTTTTAGTTGTCAGAACTATTTTGGTACTTACATGTGCCTGCTCTATCAAAGATATGAAGAAAAAAAACACTAAACAAAAGTAGCGACGTACTTTGCAAAGTGATTATGAAAAATAAAGTTGAAAAAATTGGATTCACTAAAGAATGAAATTTTATATGAATTGCATGAGTTATGTGTCGCACGCAAAGAAACCATTTGTAACAAAAAATATGTGATGCTTATTACATACATACTGCACTTACAATTAAGTGTAACTTACAAAAGTATGTTTCAAAATCAATAATCCTACATTACTTTACTTCATATCTAAAATAAATCTTCTTTAAATTTTTACAGTTTAAAAAATCCAGAATAGTTCATGGAAATGCTAAATGTATATTATGAAGTAATAGATAAGATTAATTATATGTTCACCGAAATTCTAGGTTGTATTCATAAGAAAAAAGTATTTAATAGATAAAATAACTATATCATATTAATTAAATGTATTTTTCATGATAATCAACTGTTATTAACTAGCGCTTCTGCAAGAATCCTAATCAAATGCTGCTGCCACTGTACATAACAGATTTCAATAGGTGTATTTAACAATTGCTTCTTTGTATTGTTGTTTCTGTGTTTTTTTTTCTTCTTCATTTTTTCTGTTTAACGTCTCTCTCGAGAATTTTTCATTCATATGTTGACGCCACCACTTGCGCGTGGACACTGAAAAGTGTATCTTTAAATAAAAGAGGAAGAATCTTTATGATAAAACACATTTTATTATGCAAATGCTTGATCAAGGAAACTATCTTTTGTTATCTATACCATAACATACATGAAGAATGTCTTCAATACCTAAAGTAAATTACAAGAAATATCTTTTATGTCATTCTTAATTACAAATTTATTCTTTGTCAAGTTCACTCTTTGGTGACGATTGAGTTGCACTATAAGTATGTTAAAGGAAGAACATTCCAAATGATTACTGGTTATTGAACATGTTGATATAAATCAATAACGACACAGATTGAAGTTTACCTGTATTTTAATGAGACATTTGATTTCATTAGCAAAACCAAATATCATTACCTATTTTTTTTACGAAGTAGTGTGAAGAATGCGGATAAACCAAACCGCTTCTTTAAAAGAAATCAGAGTTTCATTGAATCATCTCATAAACAGAAACATCAGCAAGAAAATAAGTAGATAAATTAAGATTAACACCTTAATGAAAAGAATAACACTTAAAATTGCATATCCAGCAAATGTAATATGTATGAATTCAAAAAACGATATTCTTATAACAAGTATAAATTAAAAAAAATTAACAAAACAATAACCTGTTATCTCTTTGAAATGATGTACTTGCAAATGTAAATATTGAAAAAATAAGAATACAATGTATGTGTTGACTGAGCCTGTAACATAAATGTTGTTTTCATGAAATTTTACTTTGGTATTCTAGGCTGATTTTTACTCTGGGATCAGAAAATAGGTTACATTTAAACATACCATAATTACATACTGCTTCTTAAATGACACGCAGTGATTGTACATGTATCTGAAGATACGTCAAATTTAATTGAGAAATTGGATTTCCCAACTCTCAAAACATTGGAATTATGAATATGTATTGCGCAATTCGGAAGTGTCCAGGTCCTGATAGAGATGTATTTTACTGCTGTTTTCTTATCAACCTCTCTTTCTTTGAAGTATCACGACAAGGAACTCAGCTATGTTAAATATCTGAAGAGTTCTTTAGATGCCTGTTCATTATGTTACACTTTCCTCATTCTTTAATATTGATATTCATGAAATCACCTCATTATAAATCAACACAAGACGTACTTTTAGTTCTCGACTTGTCCTTAAATTACAAAGCTGAAAAGATCCTAGATTTGAAGACATGTCAGCATTCTACGGTTGTATTGAAATTCAAATAGCTAAATGTATAGAAAAGTAATATTGAATATCTTACTGCAGTTAATCGTGGTACTCTCTTTGGCATATGTAGAATATCTTATAAAACAATTATGAATTATTATTTGAATTGAGTGATAAATAACCAAGTGATGAACGGCCTTGAATAAATAAGTTTTGTAAATATAATTGAATAATATAATAATTAAATATAAATACTTGATTAAAAAACAAAGACTTATTTTCTGTTATCATGGTATTATTAACAAATATAAAAATCTTTTGTTGCCATTAAGTTTGTTTTTATGATGCAGAGAACTATTTGTTTGGACTAATGTGGAAAATAAAGTAATTTCAAATTGCATCATCAACAACTTTGATTATTCATGCTTTAACGTATCACCTTAGCTGAGTTACTTTTCACTAAACCTTTAAAAAGGGTGCATTGGCCAAAATTAAACTGATGTCTGTCAAAACCAAAAAGATAAATCTGAGTTCAATGAAATGTCAAAAAATACCGGTAGAGGTACTGTAAACACAGAGCTCAATGATATCCCTGCCTCGCATATGATTATAATGGCAAAGTCCATCTTTTTCTATGGGAAACCCAAAATGTGTGTAGGATCAAGTAAAATAACAGGTGCACAATGGCAATATGTAACTACTGTTAATTGTACCGGAGACCGCTACAGATGTTCCCCAATCGGTCCCCAAATCCCCTGTTGTGTCTTATTCCCTTAAGACTTTATTTTATTTGGCAAGTATCAAAGGATTTCATAAAAGAATAAAACAGTTACAATGATATCATTTAACGAATTACTTGCATGCGCAGGTGCATGCATATGCAATATGATCATGACAAGTTGTCTAAACGATAAAAATATGTTTATATCCAAAGAATAAAAAAAATAATGCATGCATAAATCTTATCGTTTTTTCAAGTAATTGTTCATTTTAGGCATTGAGCATGCGCACGTGCAAGGTGCACTTGTTTGCAGGTCCTCGCATTCAATTTTGCAGCATAATGTAGGAATCCATAATACCTATTTACGTTCTAAATTTCATCCTGTTTTATTGAGAACCAAGAAAGTTATAGGTATTTAAAGTTTAAGCCAATCAGATTGCAGCTCACTTGCATGCACGTGTTTTCATGATAATTCTTATATATCATGCTGTAGAACCTCCTAATGTATGACTATGTTTCAAATGTCAAAGTATTTTGTCAAGAAACAAGAAAGATGTTGAGACCTTTGTTTTATCCAATCAGAGCGAAGCGCACGTGCATGCGCTTGAGTTCATGCTATTTTGACCATGTCTATACTACTAATATATTTTTTTTATTATACTCTAATGTAATTACTCTATATAAAATTAATACCATAAAACTGTCTATTTCCCCGAGAAGAGACTACTGTCCTCATCTGAAGACTACTCCCTGGAAAATCTGAGCTACTCCCTGGGACTACTCCCTCATGAATATTTATTAGTAATTTTAACCAATCAAAGTGTTCAGTGGGCGGAGTTCAAGGAATCTCGAGTCTGTGACGTCATGTTATTAGCAATGTAACTATGACGTCAAAACATTTCGACATGCGATGTCAAAATCATACTTGAATTCTAGCAAAATGAAGACAACGATAATTCTTCGAAATGTCAATGAAAATACTTTTTAAAAATAATTTAATTGTTTTAGGACACGATGCATTACTTATCATAGTGTGTTAAACCGCATGCATTTGTAATTATGCCTCGTACAGTGTTTTTTTTAAATGTCAGAACATCTGGTAAAAAATAATAAATCGCCTATGATTGTTTCGGTATAATAAAACAGTTATGGAATGGGAACTCGGGAAATAGCAAATTTATGGTTCCCCTCGGCAGGAAACTATTTCCCTCGGCGGCTCCGACGCCTCGGTAAATAGTTTCCTCCCAAGGGGAACCATAAATTTGCTATTTCCCTCGTACCCATTCCATAACTGTGTAATATTATGAGTTTCAAAGCATTTCATAAAAAAATTAAAAAGTTACAGCTATGTCAATTATATTGGTCATTTCACGTGTTACACGTGTGCGCACATGAAAGCACGTGCGCGCAAAATGACATTTGTTCCTCAAATCTTCATAACATGCCTCGTGACCCTAAAAAGATTTCACCTAGATCGGACGAGTAGTTTACGGGATCACTCGCGGACAAAGAAGTACCAATGAAGAAGAATAATACGATTGATTGATTCATTGTATGTTGTTTAACGTCCCTTTAGAGAATTTTTCACTCATATGGAGATGCCACCACTTGCCGGTGGAGAGCTGCAAATTTTGTCCTTTACTCAGTACTCAGGGCCATTGAGCAGGGAGGGATCTTTTTCGTGCCCGCGCACCTACTGCGACACGGGACCTCGGTTTATACAGTCTCATCCGAAAGACTGGTCTTCACGTCCCACAGTGGGATTCGAACCCGTGACGTAAGGTTAACTCCTTACTTCGCGACTCTAGAGCAGACGCTCCAACCACTGCGTCACGCGGGCGACGAAAAATACGAAGAAAGTAAAAACGATATGTTCCCAAAGTTCGTTTGGGGAACATAATAAAGATTCTGTGAAAGTCTCATCAAATTTCATTCACCGGTTTGAGAGGAGTTGCGGATAGGAGATGGGTACCCAAAAGCGTAACAGACGGACGGACGGACATCCCCATTACCATATACCCTCCTACGATCTATATTTCTGAACTTGTATCCGATCCTTTTGACTTTGTCAATAAAATATGTACAATTCATATACCCTTTCACATTTCAAGCGGAGTTTATAAATATAACCTTTCACTAGGTCGTGTATATTGGCTCACTTGTTTCAAACTAAATTTTTGGACTATGTTTTATACTAGATTTGACGACGCAATGTATTCATGATCAATTTATAAGGGTCACATAGGGTGTGAACGATAAATGGGGAACGTTTAATTCAGATTCCCTATAAATCAAACAAACAATATGGATGTTATTTTGCTTGTTTAATGTGGCGCTTCTGGCCGCGGTGATCAATTTGCTGGGGCTACCACAGGGCTGCCCCACAATCAACAATCAATACAATAAATGTGACGACCCAAATAGGTTCATGCACTTTGGTAGGTCACAAGTGCATGAACGTCACCAATGCAATAATCAAATTCAATCAATCAATTATTAATCAATCAGTCAATCAAT